TTTTCTACCTTGCTTGTCCACTGTCGTGTCCCCCACAGCACCCCCCCCAAATAAACCTCATTGCTATGAAGTCTACTCCGACTCATAGTGCCCCCACATGTCAGGGTAGAATGGCCCCTGTGGGTTTCAGTGGCTGTAACTCTTTATGGGAGTAGGTAGCCTCATCTTTGTACCTGGAGTGGCTGGTGGTTTTTATTTAAACTGATAACCTTGTAGCTAGCAGCCCAATGCGTTAACCGCTATGCCACCAGGTTGGTCTTCGGTGCCCAGCACATACTAGGTGCTCAGTTGGTATTTATTGAGTGATTTGGTTGTTATGGCTATCCTGGGCGAACACAGGGTACCCTGTGAACTTCAGGAAGGAAGAAATACGAAGGAGACCATTTCCTTTTTCTCCAGAGACGGCCTTTCAGACAAGCTCTGTCCACTCTCCTTATCCTATGCTGAACTGACATTTGCCCCGCAATCCCCTACTCCTAGAGATGAGAGGGTAAGAATTCACGGGGGTGAGGGGTGGTAGACAGGGGGTAAGGGAGTGTGGGTAGTGGATGGGTGAGGTGTTGGAGGGCTGGGGTGCTGGAGTGGTAGGAGTGATGCAGGTGTGGGGTGATAGAAGGATGGAGTGGTTGAAATGAAGGAGTGGATGATATGAAAGGGTAGGGGTGAGGGAGGGCTGGGGGTGATGGACTAGAGGGTGCAGAGGTGGGGGTGATGAAGAAGTGAGGGGCAAGTGAAGGAGGGCAGAGGAGTGGTGGTAATGGCTGAAGGAGCAGTGCTGGCCAGCTGCTTGTATTTCAATCCCATGGTGTGGGAGGTGCCTGGTCACAGTTATATTCTTCAGCCAGAAGGGCTTTACCTCGACACTTGAGACACACACACAGGCTAGCTGGGGGCCAAGGGCATTGCGGGGGTGGGGGTGGGGGGTAGTCCACCAAGCAGCAAGTCAGAGGTGGAATGGAGGCTCAAGCTTTAGCTTCCAGACTCACCTTTCAGGACTCTTGCCTCTTCCCATGTCCTGTGATAGTTTGCTGTAATCCAGCGTGCTGCACAAGTGCTGTAGGTGCTACACACGCGCGCACACCCCTCTTACTACGTTCTGTGATAGTTTGCTGTAATCCAGCGTGCTGCACAAGTGCTGTAGGCGCTACACACACGAGCACACCCCTCTTACTACGTTCTGTCATAGTTTGCTGTAATAATCCAAGGCACCGCACAAGTGCTGTACACAAACCCCCACTTCTGCTTCCTTGGAGGCCCTAACAGCAGTTATACTGGTCCCAGAAGAGCCGTCCCTATCTTTATGAGGACCAAGGTGGGTTAAAGAGGAGCTGGAGAAGTGGGTGGAGACGTAGGCGGATGGGTGGGTGGGTGCGTGGTTGGGCCAAGGGAGGCTGTTGGGCGCGGGAGGAGGGCGTTGGCTGGCGGTAGGACTGGATGAGTGCAGGGGAGTGTGGGTGTAACCGAACGGAGGGTGCCAAATAGAATCTGAAGAGCAGAGGGTCTTCGCTACCCAAACCCGGCCCCCTCGACATGTTTTCGCTGGAAAACCGAGGTCAGGGACAGGGACATGGGTGTCTGGTCCCAGGACCCCCGGAGAGATCCAGGCGGAGCCGGAACTGAGCTCCAGCTGGGGG